CGCTCGCTCACTCTCGCTCGCTCTACACATGCACGCGCCACATGCACGCGCCACACCTCCCTCTCTCTCTTAAAGGGATAGGCGACCCCACTCTGCATCACCCTGCTATTATAAGAGAGAGAGAGAGAGAGAGAGAGAGAGAGAGAGAGAGAGAGAGAGAGAGAGAGAGAGAGAGAGAGAGAGAGAGAGAGAGAGAGATAGCAGGGTTTCCGTGAGCCTGTAATTACCGGTTTTTAAAAACCAAAAATAATATTCACTCTTAATAGTTTGATCGGTGATCTCTATAAAGGCCGCTCAGGAGAGCTGGATCTGATCGATATGGACATAAACGCATCTTTACAACTGTTGATGTGCTGTTTGTTTGTAATGGTGGTGCATGTTGTTCTCTCTTCTGAGGCTGAACATATGAATACATTCTGGAAAACTTTAAGAAAGAGACAGGAGCTTCTGAGATCCACGTGTTTTAGAAATGGACATTTTAAAAAAACCTCAAATAGACAGTTTGTGTATCTTTGAGTATTTTTTTAAAAGCATCGTGAGGAACAAAGTGAGGGTTGGTGTGTGACTGTTAAACTACAGTGTGTGCATGGACGCGGGAAGGAGGGGGGGGGCTGAGGGGGCTGCAGCACCCCCATCTGCGAGGCTACACTAGCACCCGCAACCCCCCCGCGCCGCACCTCCAACTCTGACTGACTTCCCGTGTCCCTGTGTGTGTGTGTGTGTGTGTGTGTGTGTGTGTGCGCGTGTGTGTGTGTGTGTGTGTGTGTGTGATTCCAGGTAAAACATTTCATTGAGGTTATAATAATAATAATAATAATAATAATAATAATAATAATTGATGGATTAATGAAATTATGGTATTTGAGCTAACTATTCTATAAACTTTCTCATCTGAAGTTTTTTATTTATTTTAATTTTTGGTAACACTTAAGGTACACAAATTAACCATCAACTAGTTGTTAATTAACATGCATATTAGCAGTATATTGGCTCTTTATTAGTCATTATAAAACACTTATTAATGCCTTATTCTACAAGTAATAAGCCATTAGTTGAGAGTTTTTCCTCAATAACCCTCTAATTAGTGCTGATTTATTGCAAGTAGGAAGTTGTTGAACATGAGTTTTGGTCTTAATATGCTCTGTATAACAGATATGGGCCTAATAAGGCAGTAGTACCACAAGAATAGTAATTCTCCCATAATAACACTTAGCAAATATTATCTATTCTTATGTAACAAGACATGAAACTATAACATTACATTTCATTTAGCTGACGCTTTTGTCCAAAGCGACTTACAATGACTAATTACAGGGACATTCTCCCTGGAGTAACTGAGGGCTAAGTGCCTTACTCAAGGGCACACTAGTGGTGGTGTTCCAGGCGGGATTTGAACTCACAACCTTCCGATCTTCAGCCCACCCCACTATCCATTAGACCACCACTACCCCTATAAGTGTTAATTGTGTCTAAATAACAAAGAATTAGGTATTTATATCTAAGAACATGTTCCCTATTTTAAAGTGAAGTCTTGTTCATAACCAATAAGCTAGTAGTTTGACTCTAATTGACCTGAACAGGTTCCCTATTCTCAAGTTACCTCCTCTTCACACTGTGTAAATACATGATAGCACACACCTACTGAAATTAACCTCAACAGTACATGAACAAAGTAGGCACACGTTGACATATCTGTTTTATTAATGAACCACTAAAGAGAGGTTCAGACACATACATATGCAGCGTGTACCTTTTAATAAAAAAAGATTTTTTAATAGAGTTTATGTATTTGTGATCATACTGTGTGACCTGCTTGTATGTACTTACACAATAGGTATACTGTTCTCTCTGTGTTGTACTGACGCATTTTGTCATTGTGTTTAAAGTGTAGTAAAGTTACTAATCCTTACAGTGCAAGTGCAAGGCTTACACTTACAGTCATTGCTTTCTGACGGACTTGACCCTTTTACTCTTCAGGTTGCATAGGGGAAATTAGTAGCAGTCTACTGCCTTGCTATTCAGTTCACTTTCTCCTACTTCCTGTACCCGGTTTCCTGTCTAACCTTCGGTACAAATTATACAAAAATATAAATGTGCAAATATGAACATTCAGGTCAATATCACCTTGCTTTTGGTAGCTGAACTGTCAATACCCCAAACATATTCTTAGATGTACCTAAATTTCATTTTGAGTTATTTAGACACAATTAACATCATGTAGAATAAGGCATTAATGAGTATTTTATAATGACTAATAAAGAGCAAATATACTGCATGTTAATTAACAACTAGTTGATGGTTAATTTGTGTACCTTAATATAAAGTGTTACCTACTTTTTTTCTACATTGTAGATTTATACTGAAGACGTCAAAACTATAAAAGAACACATGGAATTATCTAGTAAATAAAAAAGTGTAAAAAATCCAGAATATGATTTATATTTAGCTGGCTACTGCAGAATGCTGTGGTAGCCATGCTGGTTAAGTGTGCCTTGAATTCGGAATAAATCACCAACAGTGTCACCAGCACCATGTATTGATCCTCTGAGCAGAGGTAACTCTTGCTCTTCCTCTCCCGGGGGGGTCCCCATGAGAGCCAGTTCCATCATAGCGTTCGATGGTTTTTGCGACTGCATTTGAGGATACATTCAGAGTTCTTGAAATGTTCCGGATCGACTGGCCTTCATTTCTTAAAGTGATGATGGACGGTCGCTTCTCTTTACTGAGTTGAGTGGTTCTTGCCATAATATGGATTACAACAGTAGTCAAATAGGGCTTTCCACTGTGCACTAACCCTACCTCTGCACAACACAACGGATGGTCTCAAACACATTAAAAGTCATTGCACAAATGGACTCTTGACGAGGCACACGTGTTAATTGAAACCATTCCAGGTGACGCCCTCATGTAGCTGACTGAGAGAAGCCCAGAGTGAGCAAAGCTGTCTTCAAGGCAAGGGGGCTACTTTGAAGAATCTAAAATATAAATCATATTCTGGATTTTTTTAACACTTTTTTGTTAGCTAGATAATTCCATATGTGTTCTTTCATAGTTTTGATGTCTTCAGTATTAATCTACAAAGTAGAACAACATTTAAATAAACAAAAACCATTGAATGGCTCAGTGGATAGAGTGCTGGACTTTGAATCAGGGGGTAGCAAGTTTGAGTCCCACTGCAGTCAGCATGTCGTTGTGTCCCTGAGACACTTCACCCCAAATTGCTCCTGTGGGGATTGTCCACAGTACTGAATGTATGTTAGTCGCTTTGGATAAAAGCGTCTAACAAATGACACTCTGCACCAACACAAACAAGCAGGCTGCACAGCAGATGGGAAAGGGGAAAACATACAAATGGACTGACTTGACTGTTGAGGGTTTTTATAAATACATGGGGCTGCTTCTATACATGGCCCTGCTGAAACTGGACAATGTATTGGACTACTGGAGGCAGGATCATTTTCTGTCAGTGCCTCTACCAGCACAGGTCATGTCACGTGACAGATACAGGACAATATCCTGGAACTTGCGACCCTGATGAGGATGTCATGAACGACAGCAAAAAGGGCATACCCGACCATGACCGACTGTTCCGATTGAGACCCCTCATGGACACCATCAAGACTGCGTGTAAGGCCTTTTACCATCCCCATAAATACCTGGCTGTGGATGAGAGGATGGTTGCCTCCAAGGCTAAGACTGGAATGACCCAGTACATGAAGGCCAAACCAACCAAGTGGGGATTCAAGCTGTTCGTCATAGCTGATTCGAGGAATGGCTTCACAATAGACTTTTCTGTTTACACTGGTAAAAGTGACATCCTCTCCGGACATGGCCTGTCGTATGATGTGGTAATGTCTCTGGTGCAGGCAGGTTACCTCGGAACAGGTTACCATATTTGCATGGATAATTTTTACACCAGCCCGAAGCTGTTCAAGGCTCCCCATGCCCTAAAGTTCGCTGCCTGTGGGACCTACAGAGAGAACCGCAAGGACTGCCCAAGGCCACAAACTAACGCCCTGACAAAAAAAATCCCAAAGAGGCTCCATAAGATGGATCAGGGAGGGCCCACTGGTATTTGTCAAGTGGATGGACACCAGGGAAGTAGCTGTCTGCTCCACCATCCATGAAGCATACTCTGGCAACACCGTGCAGAGAAGGCAGAAGCAGAGAGATGGCTCCTGGACCCGAGTAGAGACCCCCTGTCCCACACCTGTTGCTGAGTACAACGCACACATGGGTGGAGTTGATCTGTCAGATCATACAGTACTACTCTGCAAAGCACAAGACCATGCGCTGGTACAGGAGCCTATTTTATAATTTCCTGGACATTGCCACTACAAACAGCTACATTATGTACAAAGAAGTCTGTCTGGCACAACAGAAGAAGCCCATGACACACAGAGCATTCATGGGGGAGCTGAGTGCTGAGCTCTGTGGCAAGCCTGTCCATACACCTCCTGTCCGGGCACCTGCAGCTCATCTTCCTGTGCCCATTGTTGATGTCCAGGCAGCAAGCGACAGGGCCACCACAGGTCGCAGGAAATGTGAACATTGCTACATCCAAGGCAAGAGAAAGGACACACCTTGGAAGTGCAAGCAGTGTGACGTTGCCCTGTGTCTCTTACTGGAACGCAACTGCTTTGAGGCATGGCATGAGGACTTCATCTGAGTGAAAGTGTTTTTTATAAATAGTTGAAAAAAAGTTCTGGTGTTCAATATTGTAAATAGTGAGATTTTGCAGTTATATTCATATAAATAGTTGGTATTATAATAAATTGTTGTTTGAAAAAAAAGAGTTCTAATGCCCAATTCTTTTTTTTCTACACATCACATGAACCTTGGTATGTAATATGAAGTCATTATTCAGTCCTGATGTATCTCAGCCCCTGCTGTGGTGAAAGTAGAGTGATTGACAGCTGTTTTACTCAGAATTCGAATTGACAAAATTTCATTTTAAACATGAATAACACATTTATATACAGTGTAATTCAAATATTTCACTACTTTTGTGATCCTATGACTTTGGTAACCAAATCTAAAACACCAAAACAATTGGATGACATGAGTACATTTGTGTTTTCACAAGAGTTTTGAAGATTTTCCGAAAATCGGATGTCAAATGTTAAGCTTTTGAGCTACTTATCTCATCACACAGTGCTCTGAGGTGAGTAATTTGCATATATAGCAAGACTAGAGATTGTCTTGAACATTTTGATATGCAACACATGGGGTGCCATGTTACAAGAAGTACATTTAAAAGGTGAATTAAGAAAACATCTAAAAATCGGGGTTAAACCTAACAATAATCACTGTCCTCAGTCTCAGGTTCAGAAGAGTCTCCAGGTTTGTCCTCAGTCTCTGGTTGTAAATGTCTCTCTGGATCTGAGTTCCTGGCTGGTTCTGGTCCTCCACAGTCCTCTCCATCAGCTTCTGTTTCCAGGTGTTCAGCTGAGCTGCTGGCTGGAGGCTCTGCCTCTCTTTTCTCCTCAGTTTGAGTTTGATGAAGCTGTGAGGACTGACGACCAACACAATTATGTCTTTTGACCTGACATTTCTGTGTGAATCTTTTGTCACAAACACTGCATCTGTATGGTTTCTCTCCTGTGTGGATTCTCATGTGTCGATGCAAATGCCCCTTTTGTGTAAAATATATCTTACAGACTGAGCAGCTGAATGGTTTCTCTCCTGTGTGGATTCTCATGTGGTCCTTTAAATTTGCTCTCTGTGTAAAATACTTCTTACAGACTGAGCAGCTGAATGGTTTCTCTCCTGTGTGGATTCTCATGTGTTTCTTTAAATATGCTCTCTGTGTTAAAGACTTCTTACAGACTGAGCAGCTGAATGGTTTCTCTCCTGTGTGGATTCTCATGTGTTTCTTTAAATATGCTCTCTGTGTAAAAGACTTCTTACAGACTGAGCAGCTGAATGGTTTCTCTCCTGTACTACATCTTGAATCACTGACAGGGTCTTGTTTATTTCTCTGAGAGGTTGAACGTGGTTCTCTGGTCTCCTTCCAATTATTACTGTCTTCAGTGTCAGGTTCAGAAGAGTCTTCAGTGTCAGGTTCAGAAGAGTCTCCAGTGTCAGGTTCAGAAGAGTCTTCAGTGTCAGGTTCAGAAGAGTCTCCAGGGTTGTCCTCAGTCTCTGGTTGTAAATGTCTCTCTGGATCTGAGTTCCTGGCTGGTTCTGGTCCTCCACAGTCCTCTCCATCAGCTTCTGTTTCCAGGTGTTCAGCTGAGCTGCTGGCTGGAGGCTCTGCCTCTCTGTTCTCCTCAGTTTGAGTTTGATGAAGCTGTGAGGACTGACGACCAACACACTTATGGATTTTGACCTGATACCTCTGTGTGAATCTTTTTTCACAAACACTGCAGCTGAATGGTTTCTCTCCTGTGTGGATTCTCCTGTGTCGATGTAAATCTTCCTTTCGTGTAAAATATTTCTTACAAACTGAGCAGCTGAATGGTTTCTCTCCTGTGAGGATTCTCATGTGGTCTTTTAAATTTCCTCTCTGTCTAACCGTTTTCTCACACAAAGAGAAGCAAAATGTTTTCTTTCCTGCACACTTATGGCTTTTGAACTGATGACTTTGGGTGAATATTTTGTCACAAACACTGCAGCTGAATGGTTTCTCTCTGGTGTGAGTTCTCATGTGTATCTTCAGGTGGGATTTGTAAAGACATCGTACACCACAAACAGAACAGACGAAGGTTTTCTCGCCCGTATGCAACTTCATGTGGCTCTTCAGGCTGGCATTGTGGGGAAACCTTTTCCCACAGTCGGGACAGCTGTACGGTTTCCGGAATGTTTTATTTTCAGCTACTTGATTTTCGTTTAAACACGGTGATGCAGACTGAGGTTTCGTGTCGTCTTTCCAGAAATCACTGCCGACACTGTCGTCACTCTCAGCCCGAGGGAAGGTCAACGCTTTGTTTCCACAGTCGCTGTCAGTGATTTCATTATTTTTCAACATGTTTAAACCTGACGGGTGTTCCCTGGTCTCCTTCCAAAAATCACTATCAACACTATCATCAGTCTCTGGTTGTAAATGTCTCTCTGGATCTGAGTTCCTGGCTGGTTCTGGTCCTCCACAGTCCTCTCCATCAGCTTCTGTTTCCAGGTGTTCAGTTTGTCTTTGATGAAGCTGAGAGGACTGAGGTTTCTCTTCATCATCTTCACTCTTCACAGGGACAGGAGTGAATGTGGACTTGGTGATATCAGCCTCCTCCAGCCCTTGAAGCTGCTCTCCCTCCTGACTGCTCCAGAGTTCCTCCTGCTCCTCTTTAATGTGTGGGGGGGGCTCTGGGTCCTCCTGGTCCAGACTGGAGCTCCACTCCTGCTGCTCAGGGGGAACCTCTTCTTTAACCACCACCAGCTGCTGGACGTCTGCAGGAAACAGGAAACACATATTCAGAGAAACTCTAGATTAATAGAATTTAAAATCTTACCACGAGTAACACTTCTTTAACTTTTCAGCCCTTATCCAATCCATATTTTAAATGCTTTTCCAGATGCCCTGGAGAGTTTCAGGACAACAGGTGAGTTAGTACGGTAGCTGATCTAAAACGTAGTTTCACTGCCGCTTAGCAAGGCGTCGGCCGTTCACGGAGTGTGAGGCCTTAGCCTTACAGTTTGTGACCTGTCTGCAGAGTCGTTAGCTGAGAACTGGTGTTGGAGTTTCTCAGAGTAGTCGTTTAGCATCTCTCACCGCCTTGCTAAACCTGTACTTGGACTCATACAGGTGCATCTCAATAAATTGGATATCATGGAAAAGTGAGTTTATATCAGTAATTCAATTTATAAAGTTTAAACGTATACATCACATAGATTCATCACACACAAAGTGAATTATTGCTGAGGGGGCTGCAGCACCCCTATCTGTGAGGCTCCACTAGCACCCGCACCCCCAAACGCGGCGCACCTACAGTGTAAACGCGCCACAGTTTCGCGACAGCGAGGCTCGACTAGCACCCCCCCCCAGCGCGTCACAGTTTCACCGCAGAGAGTGTGTGTGTGTGAGGAGCTCCAGGGATTGGTCCATTTGGACCAATGGGTCCATTTGGGTATGGGCAGGCCACTGAGTTTTACTCGCTACAGGGTGTACTTTGAGGGTTTGTGACTTTGCAGACCGTTTACATGCAGAAAAACCTTCATAACACACAAGGGGATGGGCAATAACCGGAAAAGCATGACATGGGACCTTTAATATGTATGCATTCAGTACTTGGTTGGACCTCCTTTAACATGAATAACTGCATTAATGCGGCGTGGCATGAAGATATCAGTCTGTGGCACTGCTGAGGTGTGATGGAAGCCTAGGTTGCTTCACTAGCGGCCTTCAGCTCGTCTGCATCGATGGGTCTCGTGTGCCTCATCTTCCTCCTGCCAATTCATAGAATCTTTTTTCTCAAAATTCTGACTTTTTTCTCAAAATTCTGACCTTTTCTGGAAATCTCAAAATTCTGACTTTCCCCCAAAAGTATGACTTTTTTCCCCTCAAAATTATGACAAATCTCATAATTACTTTTTTCTCCAAATTCTGACTTTTTCTAAAATGATGAATTTTTCAGAAAATCTCTAAATGCTGGCCTTTTCAGATAACCTCTGAATTTTGACTTATTTTTTTAAACCACAACATTCTGAATAATTTTCTCAAATTCTGACTTTTTTTCTGAAAAATGTCAGATGATGGAAAGGCAACAGTAACTCAAATAACCACTTCTCACAACCAAGGTTTGCACAAGACCATTTATGCTGCGACATTCAGGCGGTAGGGTCAGAAGACAACATGAGTGCATGGATCCATCCTGCCTTGTATCAACGGTTCAGGCTGGAGGTGGTGGGGTAACGGGGGGGGGGGATATTTTCTTGGCATACTTTGGGCCGCTTACTACCAATTGATCATCGTCTAAACGCCACAGCCGACCTGAGTGTTGTTTCTGACCATGTCCATCCCTTTATGACCACAGTGTACCCATCTTCTGATGCTACTTCCAGCAGGATAACGCCCCATGTCACAAAGCTCTAATCATCTCCAACCGGTTTCTTGAACATGACGATGAGTTCACTGTTCTCCAATGGCCACAGTCACCTGATCTAAATCCTATAGAGCAGTGGTCCTCACTGGTACCGGTCCGCGGGTCATTTGGTACCGGGTCGCAGAGAAAGATTGAATAAAAAAATATTTTATAAAAATATTATACAAAAATATGTTATTGATTTATTGATTTACTGAAAGACATTTTATTTTTCGCGTGCCGTAAGTTATTACAGTGATACCTTTTTCTGAACCAGCCCAACTCATGGAAAACCGCCCATCTGGCAACACTGAGCGCGAGAGCAGTCTGGACTCTGGAACGTCATAACGCTGTGATTTTTTGTTTGATTACTGGTCTGGGGGAAGCTCGCGAGTGTGTGTGTGTGTATTTTTGCATTTGTGTGTATTGTGTTTGTTTCCCGGGGAAAACACTCGCAAGAAACACCGGCTGTTGTTATGCCTGCAGTGACGTAAAGTTACTCCGTTCTCCGCTTGTAATTATGCCTTGACAAGCTTCAAAGTTGTATTTATCATCTGAATTTGGCGAAACAAGTTTAATATTCTGAAATCCAAGACTTTCTTTATTTGAAATCAGATCAAAACAAACTACAAGCCTACAAGCTTCAGACATGTATTTATCTTGTGATTTGGGAAATAAAAGTTTCATATTCTGAAAGTCAATACTTTGTTTATTTAAAATCAAACAAAACACCCGAACAACTATTTTTTTACGCAAATCCACGTTTATTTTGAAATTAGCCGTTGCGACTTCCGACTGATTTCGATAGAGCGGTTAATATTAAACCCACAAAAAACCCTGCTAATAACAAGCTAGAAAAAATTTGTCCAACACAAACTTCCTTAACCTGTTCCACTCTGAGCCTGTTTTTCAGGTCTCCGAATCGAAAATGACATTCCCAGAACAAATGACCATATCTTCCCTTCTAAAAGGGTTAAATTAATAATCTTTGTTCTCAAAGTAATGATAAACCTGTGAGTTGGATGTAGAAGTGTCAGAATCAATATAAATGTTTTTTATTTTAAAGAAAATTCAGATTTTACATAGTAAAAAACTGTAAATTATAGTGTCCGTCCAAAAATTATTTTTTATAGATAGTGAAAACTACCCTTGGATGATGGGTTAGTAGACTAAAAGCTTTAGGAATCCAAAGTACAACATATAATAAGTACCCTGTATCAAGATTGATGCAAAACAAGTGAAATTTGACCTTTTTAGAGAGATTTAGCCAAAAAACCCCACTTCTGGGGTCATTTGGGTGGATTTGACCTATCTCTGGCCCCCCTTACTCGATTGGGATCGTTGACACACCTTTCTGACCGTTAGAGCCAATAGAATCGAAGGGGGAGGCCCACTCACACACTCGTTGTAAATAGAAAAGGTGGGGGCTACGCGTCTAGAACTGAAACTGGATTTGCAGATTTTCTCCTTCTGGAGTTTGGAAACTAAAAATCCGTTTTATTGCTTATGGATTATCAGAAATCATTTCAAAGAGGACACAGATACATTGGATGAACCTATGGATTAACTGCAGCATCGTTTTTTTATCGTTTTAATGCCTTTGAAGACCAGTTTTGACCAAGGTAAGCCATATTGGCGTTTTTAGCTACTTAGCTCCACATGTTGTGATGTACGCTTTCGTTTATAGCGTCGCGAATGTTTATCACTGAGTGTTGAGGAGGGCACCGTTAGATTCAGTGTCTCCAGGACACCAAAAAAAGAGTGGTTGGTTTTGCATCTAGGATAAGTAATAAGGGAGTTATGAGTGAGTTTAAGTGCCTTTGTAGGTTACGTTCTTTCGTCGAGGCTAATTCAGAGGCTGAGTGCTAGCATTGTGGGGTTTTTTTGAATTTTTTTTTTAAAAAGATCAGTTAGCTGAGTTTCTTCCCGTTACATGGATATAACACATTCATAGTTTTATTCAATATTAAGATTCCTTAGACGTTGTTTCCTACAAATGACGCGTTTATCCGCCCGGTACCGGGCGGAAGGTGCGTAACAGGTTAAGCCCGAGAGACCCCGGTACCGGGGCACTGCCGCAACATCTTGCAGGAAACAGTGTCTGAGGGCATGTTCATTTAATAAACTATGAATGTTTTATATCCATGTAACGGGAAGAAACTCATCGGATCTTTTTTTTTTTTTTTCAAAAGAAAACCCACAATGCTAACACTGAGCCTCTGAATTAGCAACGAGCGAAAAATGCTAAGAGATTACTGCACCGAAAATCACTCAAAAAACCTTATTATTTATCTTTTCACCACATCCAACACATCGATTCACATCGTGAGGTGACACAGAATCGATGGGTACCCTCATTATCACTGAATTAAACGAATTTGCGACGTTATAAACAAAAACAGACATCAAAACAGATGACGCTAGGTAGCTAAAAATGCGAACAAGGTTACCTTGGCTCTGTAGTCTCTCCAAAGTGGTCTTCAATGGCATTAAAATGATAAAAACGCTGCTGAAGTTAATCCATAGGTTAATCCAATGTGTCTGTGTCCCTTTGAAATGATTTCTGATAATCCATGATCAATAAGACGGATAATCCATGCTATTCCGTTTCAAGATGTCAGAGCTAGAATGTAGCTTCACTCTAATGCAAAACTGCATGCGCAAAGCCCCCACCTTTTCTCTTCACAACGTGTGTGTGTGGGGGACTCCCCCTTCGATTCTATTGGCTCTAACGGTCAGAAAGAGGTGTCAACCATCAAAATCGACCAAGGGGGGTCAGAGATATGGAAAATCCACCCAAATGACCCCAGAAGTGGTTTCTTTTGGCTAAATCTCTCTAAAAAGGTCAAATGTCACTTGTTTTGCATCAATCTTGATACAGGGTACTTATTATATGTTGTGCTTTGGATTCCTAAAGCTTTTAGTCTACCTTACCATCATCCAAGGGTAGTTTTCACTATAAGTACAAAATAAGTTTTGGACGGACACTATAATTTACAGTTTTTTACTATGTAAAATCTGAATTTTCTTTAAAATAAAAAACATCTATATTGATTCTGACTTTTCTACATCCAACTCAAAAGTTTATCATTACTTTGAGAAAAAAGATTATTAATGTAACCCTTTTAGAAGGGAAGATATGGTCATTTGTTCTGGGAATGTCATTTTCGAGCCTAAGACCTGAAAAACAGGCTCAGGGCTTAACAGGTTAAAAAGCTTACGGAATAGACTGGACTTAAGGAACACACTTCGGGTGTCATTGTCTCCCATTACCCCTAGATTGGACCGGCTTGTTGCAGAGACACAAGCTCAGGGCTCCCACTAATTCAGCGTAATGGTGAATTGTATTTTTATGCACTTTATATTTCT